TTTTTTCTTGATTCATTTCTCTATTATTTCTGAGAGCCCACTTTCCATTGTTTTTGAAGTTTTTCATACTCTGTGAATTCTGCTGCTCCAATTTCAAATTTTAGAACTCTCTGTCGAAATCAACCATAATTCTTCGTTTGTGTCGAATTGTAACTTGCCAAAAATTGGTCTTGAAATATTCGGCATTTTGATAAAATTGGTCCGAATAGGCGAGAAAATAGGAGGCTGAACTCCTCCTGTTCTGTCTTTTACTCCAAATTCTTTTCAGACATGTTTTGGTGCAAACGAACAAAATCCCACGACAGAAGAGGTGCATCACTTCTTTTATTGGACATGTGCACAATTAAAACACACACAAAAAAACATTCCAACTTACATGCTTCATTTGTTGTTCCTCATCCTTGTGAATGGGTTCCAGTGTAAGCTCCTTCTCCTCTCCCTTATTAACAACCAACAGGAAAATTCATCATGGAATTGCAATTCGCCAGGACTCGCAACCGTATAACGAACCAACCATGTTTCATCAGGCAGATGCCAAAAGTTCAATCCTTGGGAACACTCTCGTCCAACGATCGGGATCAAGGACGAAACAAATCCCTCTCTCGAATGTCCACAAGACCTCTTCGTTTTCTGAGTACTTGCAAAAAAGAGTGATCCCTGAAAAGGAGCAACAATTCAATCACGACATTCACTCTCCTGTTGTCGACAGTGATTCTGATTCAGAACCAATCAACCACAGTCCACCCTCTCCCAATACCTCCAATCACCTGAAATACATGACTCAAAGAAAATCTTCTCCCTCAACGTTTTCTTGGTCTCCTGAATCTTCGAATGGATTCGATTGGAACACTCATTCTCCCCAAAGACAACGTTCATTCCCATTCCTACAACAACCATTCACCATTAAAACGAAAAAGAATACATCCTCTCTTGTTCACACTCAATCCTCCAAATATGACATTCAACAAAGAGGTCCAAATAATAATAATGAAAGAAAATTCCTCTCCCAAACAAAAAGATCAGTTCCCAATCAAAAGAGCCATCAAGAAGAAGACGACGAAAGTGAACAACTCATCTCACAAGTTATTGACAGTTTTCGATTGAGAAAGGCTAAAAACATCACTCCCAAAACAAACGATCTTTCTCCGCACCCACTCCACAAGAGACTCTCTTTCAAGTATTTATTACAAAACTCGAGTAGTGATCGAAGAGAAGAATTTTTCATTGTGGTGACTCCTCCTTTATTTCCTTAAATTAACGGTAATAATCGGTAATAATCGATTTACATGACTGTAAAAGACTTGATGGAACAAGAAAGTAGGCCTTTCAAATAATTTTAATGCAGCTGCCAAAAGTCAAGGGTTTGTACTTGATTGTTTCAGTTTCTTACAAATCTTCCTTCTCTTTGCACAGATTATCTTTTATGCGAACTTTTCACACAGTCTTTTGTGAATTTGAACTTCTTAAGGCACTTCCTTATTTGATGTATTTGGATAGGACTCATATTTTCGAGAGACCTCTGAGCAGTAAGGTAAAGAGTAAGACAATTTGACAGTTTGTTGATTTAGTTCGAGAAGAAAAAGCAACAAGCAAATGCAAAGTAAATGTTGTGTTTTTAGCTTCAATTTTCAAATAAGGAATTAAAGTAGTCCAGTTCTTGGAATGCATTGGCTCTTCATCAACAACATGGAAAACATTTTGAAAGTATTTCAGAAATTGGAGAAAAGGAAATTCAAACCCGTCATCCAACAGCACTTATCTCTTTTTCGTTCCTTTACCCTCGAAGATGATGAGATGTCTATTTAAGGAAACTTGAATGTTTTCAATATTTGGTTCAAAATACAGAACCCTGTCCAAAAATGATCATTTCAATGTTCATTGATTCCCAGTTCAATAATTTGTATTCTCTTATGGTTTTTGTTAAAGCCGACAATAAAGGCGCTTTACCTGAATTCAAGAAATTTCGGTATTTCCATTCGATAATGGCACCCTTGTCACATCATTGTCAAATTCTCGGTTTTCTTGTTGTTTATGAAAAGACACAATTAGTTGGATCACAGAAGAGGATTCTTTCGAATATGTCGGCGAAGTGTCATACTTTAAAAGGTGTAATCGCGTTCCGCAGTTCACTTCAGAGAATTTTTGGTTCAAACGAACAAAAAACCAAAAACGCGTCACATCCTTATACCAGAAGAGGTGCATCACTTCTTGTATTGGATAGGTGCTTGGGTGTTTGTTGAACCGGGAACACATGTGCAAAAAAACACAAACAGTCCAACTCACACTTTCCTTGTGTTGTGTGCTTCTCATCCTCTTGTGAATGGGTTCTTGTGTAAGCTCCATTTCCTTAACCACCACACACAGGAAAACTTGCGACAACTCGCAATGTTCAAACAAACCATTCCTATTGCTTCATACAGATGCCAAAAGTTCAATCATTGGGAACACACTCGTCCATCATGATGATAGCTTCACCTCTCTTCTGAGAGGGAGGAAACGAATTCCTCTCTTGAATGGCCACAAGACTTGTTCGTTTTCTGCCTACTTGCAACAAAGAGTGTTCCCTCCTGAAAGAGACCAACACCAGCTTATTCACTCTTCGTTTGTCGATGGTGATTCTGATTCAGAACCAAAGAATCACCACCATCAAACTTCTCACAACTTTAATCACCTGAAGTATATCACTAAAAGAAAATCTTCTCCCTCCACATACTTGTCGACTCTGGAATCCAATCGATCCGATTGGTATGATCATTCTCCCCAAAGACAACGTTCATACTCCTTCCACATTCGACAACATTTCACAATTAAAACGAAAAAGAATTCACCCTCTCTTGTTCACAATCCATTCTCAAAGAATAATATTGACAACATTGCACCAAGTAAAAAAGTCAGGAAGGGACACCCCAAAACAACAAGATCACTCCCAAAGCAGAAAAACCATTGGGTCCATCAAGAAGAAGAAGACGACGACGAAAATGATCAACTCATCTCACAAGTTATTGACAGTTTTCGATTGAGAAAGGCAAAACATATCACTCCCAAAACAAGTGATTCTTCTTCGGGGCACTCTCTCAGCAAGAGACTCTCTTTTAAGTATTTATTACAAAACTCGAGTAGTGATCGAAGAGAAGAATTTTTCATTGTGGTGACTCCTCCTCCACCTGTTGGCCTTACTTAACATGGTATATAGGATATGATTGACTTGTATTGGTCACTCAAATGCCATTCAAACACCTCACCAATGCGGAATAAGAAAGCCTGCATGGATTGTTATGAACATGTAATATCCAATGTAATTCAAACGTAAAAATGAAGAACCTGAATGAAAGAAATGTTCGGATCGAACAATTCCGGAGTCTTCGTAACATATTGTTGAAATGGACCTCATTCAAGAGATTACCAATAGACAGATCCAATAAATGTATGTCCGTTACTTTGAGCTACTTCTCTCCAAACACCTTTTTTTCGTAGTTAGGCTGCAAATTACTCCTTTTATCAATGAGAAAACCAATCTTACCAATTATATAATTCATGATGTCAAGAGTGGAGGGCTCACTACAAAACAGTAACGAGAGGTAGATATTGTTCTGAGGGTGAAGGAAAAAATTTCAGTCGCCTGACGTCTAACAAAAAATTTTGGAGTTGCCGGGTATCGATCCCGGTACCTCTCCCATGCTAAGGGAACGATCTACCATGTGATCTACAACCCCATTACGTTGGTTCAATTTCTCTCATATTTAAATCTAATCATTAATGTTACAAACTCCTAACCAGGTTCTGCGAGATTGACACCACCAAGGTCTTTTTGAAGGAACAGAAGTGGAGAGGTAAATGTGCGTGGTTATTGAAACTCAAAATAGCACGGGTGGTCAACTCCTTCAGTAAAAATGACCAAGATTTGAGACAAGATTCTTTACGAGCGCACTTTTATTTTTTACTCGATTAATAACACCGACCATTATTCAAATTTTGTTTCAGAGTTGAACTGTTCTACAATTAAGCATGCTGAAACCAAGATTTTCATATGGTAGATGCTTCTTTCCGTCTAGTATCAGATTCTTTTGTTTGGTATTGTGAGACCTAATAGTCAATTAATAACAGCCCTTAAAAAAAAGGTGTCACTGACTTTGGCTGAATTAAACATAAAGCCCGTGTAAAGTGCAAACAAGCAGCATGAAATTCTAGAACAACAAACCACTTTACACTCAAGGATGTTCTATTTGTTGTGCACTTTTGACGGGCTTGGTGTTAATTTCAAACTCTTCTCAATCACATTGAACTCCACAAATTGAAATTTTTTTTAAAACCCTTTTCGAAGAGAAGTTTGAAAACATTTTAGCAACAATTTCATAACACGTTTCTCAATGTAAGAGTTGTGGTTTGAGAGAGATGGTGTTGATAAAGTGACGAAGAGGGGAAAGGGACCCTTCAATACTATACCACCCTGGACGTGACAAAGTTTTAGGGCGTTACCACCACGGCTCTTGTAATGCCAATTCAACTTATTGACGCACCAATAATTAAGTAGTGTTTCCTTCACGTGTCAGCAACAATATATTGCATTGGCAAGTTTTGAGGGGTTGAAATCATCAAAAAATCATACTATGATCGTAGCTTTATTAAAAATCCCCAGCGAAATTCTCTCTTGCAGCTTGATGTGTTCACGAAAAAATACGCTTGAGTTGGCCACCCGTGCAAAATAGTCAAAATGAACTCCTAAGTTACAACCCAACGAAAACACCCTCAAATTTTCCTTAATTGAAACTCAAGAACTACTTTTCGAAAAGAACTTTCCGTCCTTATTAGTCAAGCAGCCAAAGTCAAAAATGCCCGTTTCTCCCAAAACTCTCGAAACAACCACATCCAATATCGAAAAATGGGCTCTGCAGCTTCTTCTTCCTCAAGTACCTTTACTTCTTTATCGAATTGCTCAAGTTTGTCCCATCCTTCATTGTGTATAGGAGAGTCAAGGGTGAAAGAAGGAAATTCTTTCTTTCAGGCATCAAATATTCATCCGAACGTTTTCATGCAGAGAAACTTGGATGAATGCTGCAACTTGGAAGATCATCAGAGTCATCATCATTCACCCTCAAAGAATACAATCGAAAAAAACATCAGCTCGCATCATGCTCATCATCCATTCTCCACTTCTGTCCTCTCTATATGTTTAGAACGAAGGACACACACGAATCGACTGCATCCCGAACAACAAGAAATGAAACATCTTCATGTTCCCACACCTGTGAAAGATCTATACAACACCAAGTCCTTGTTTAAGGATCAGAAACCTGCTCTTATCCAAACAGAATTAAGAAAAAACAATTGTTCAACAAACAAGGAATACTTTTGCAAGATTAACTCTTTCAGAAAGTTAAATTGTTCTAATTCTCTTGAACAAGACTCGCATTCAAATTGTAAAACATCCAAAAGGGTCGTTCTCTTTCTGAAGGTTCTTGTCCTTCACCAAAAGAAGAATTTCATCCAAATCCTCACAAAGATCATTGTGAAAAGAAAAGACATGGTGGAAAACTATCTTCATCAACATTGTCATCTTCTGATGTTCAAATTGAAATAACTGAACCGACTTTTGAACCAGCCATTCTCTCTCCTTTTTCAATCAATGTGGAGGAGGAAAGAAAGGAAAAGAAGAGAATTCTCAGAGACTCGAAGAAAAACTCAATATACGGAGAGCTGTAAATATCCCTTGAGGGCTTGTCTCCTCAAAACAGAGATGGTGTTTTGGAATTAGAGATTGAACTGAACTCTGGAATCTCCAAGGTTGAGTTCTGCCTCTTTCCGTATTAAGGTTGTGTCAAGGTTCCTTAAAGTCTCAATTAAGAAATACTGAGTCCATTACTCCCACTCTTGTTCCCAATCACACGCAGCTCATCACCATCAGATGTAGCACATACAAGAAAATGGGTTCGAGCGTATCCATGTCTTCGGCATCTGCTCGAATTCCTGCCATGAATGAACACTCGATCCATCGTGAATATGATCAAAAACGACGACGTGGCCATCTTTCTCCCCATCACCATTCTCATTCCATCACTTATTCAGGTGAAACATGTTCCTCCCATCGACCATTCTCAACTCCCATTTCAAACACTTGTAAATCTCTTTCAACCTCACCTCATGAATTGGGTGAGAAATGTTCCAATACAAAATCACCATTCACATCATCATCATCATCACCAACGGCTATTGTTCTCCATAACATTCCTACCAAGACAAAACGTCGAAGATCTCTCCATCCTCGAGCGATTCATTCTCTTCCGAAATTCGAAGACAAGTTGTTGTTCCATCAGAATCCACAGCCACCTCCACGAAAACATCACTCTCTACCTTATCCAACAACAACCAAACACAAAGATCCACTCATTAAGCTTTCAAGAGAGAAGGGCAAAGAGGTCATCTCACCACAAGTGGATCCTTTAAAGCTGAAGAAGAACAATTCACAATATTCGGTGCAGAATCCCTCAAAATCACAAAGCAAATCCTCTCTCTCCATCTCAACAACAACCTCTTCATCTTCCAGCAGATCTTTGCTCACCTCTTCTTCCAGTTCTTCTCTCTTCTCCTTTTCAGATCAAGAGGAAGAGGATAAGAACGATTTCAAAGTGGACGACGATGGTTCAAGTTCTGACGAAGACGACTCCGAATGCCTATTGACTTTTGACAACTCCACCAATTTCAATGTTTCCTTCTCCTCTCTCAAAAAGATGTTGTCCAATGAATGGAGTAGGGAATCTTCTCTCAAATCCACGAAATCATCCTCTTCTGTCAGAACTCCTTTGAAAGGTCTTGACGCATTATTTCCACACCATGTACATCCTCCTCTCGATTCAATACCTCCAAAATCATCTCATTCAAGAAGAAGAAGAATTGCAAGTTCTTCATGGCTTCCACCATATGTAGGTCTTGGAAATTCTGAATGCAAAATCATTGTCACTCCACCTCCTTCGAATAATCCTCCTCTCCAAACGGTTGCTGTAACAACAAGAACCATTGAAGAAGAACGACAAGCAAGAAAGAAGTTACTGATGGCCAAGAGAAGGACCTTGTATTATATACAGTGTTTACACAATACAAAGGAAGATTTTTGGTAATTATCTCTCATTCTTTTACACGACGTAAATAAGAGAAAGCCAACCCACTCAAAATAACCAAAGAAGAATTTTGGTAGATATCTCTCGTTCTTATTCCTCTAACAGGAAGCAAAACGAAGAATTATGTCCTGTGTGAAAAATAGTGCGTGTACCTGTTAAGGCAAGGCGTTACTTTGGATGCCCGTTCTGTCTGTCATTGAGACCTTAATGAAGTAATGCAACAAAAATAGAATATCACCAAAACTGTCTGGATACACTTCGATTTTACCAAAATCGTAAATTGCCGGCGTAATCAACATTGTTTCACCGTGTTTCACGGAGAATCAAAGACACAAGATCAAGAAAATGGGTTCAGCTGTTTCAATGGCTCGTGTGCCTGCCATGAGTGAGGATGTTCATGATCTCAATCCCATCCCTCCCCAAAAGATGAAAACAAACACCAATTCTCGCAATCCACAAGATTTCTCGTCGTCGTCGTCCATTAGACAGATCAAAGACCATTCATTCCATCCTTTCCATGTGCAACAACCAATAGCTCCAAAACCTTGTGGTTACTATCAACACCACCATCCCTCCCATCACGATCACGATGAAACAGGTTCTCCCCAACTCTTTGCTCCATCCAACAACTTTCCACATTCGCGATTACATGCAACCAGTGATACCAAGAAATCTCCGTCCCATTCTTCGGTGAGAATTCACTCTCGAGTCGATGTTTCAACCAAGACGAAACACACCTGTAACGATCACCTATCCCCCACTCAAGAGGTCCATAGGTCGAAAAGTTTTTCTTCTTCTCCCATTTGTAAATTTCAATTCACAAGAAAGATCCATTCCTTTCCTTCTTCTCCAACAACACAAAGGAACAAATCTCCTTTGGAAACCACTCGACAATTGGTCTCTCAAATCGAAGAGGATGAAGACATGACTGTTGTGGAAGATGACACGCCGTGGATGCTTGCATGTCGACTTGACTTTTTTGGTCGAGACAATTCCGTAGACCTCTCAACAAAATTCAAGTTAAAGTAGGAACAGTTTAGAATGACAATTACAAGGAATATGAAGGTTGCGGACCATCCTTCTCTCTTTCGCAATGACCAAAATGAAACTCGAAGAAAGTTCATCGAGCAGTCAAAGGAATCTGTAAAATAACAATGTCAAGGAAACAGGACATTTCACTCTGTAATATATATATATAACGTTTTAAATTTCGAAGAAGACTTGAAATGAATTTCTATTTTTGGAGAAGAGCATCTTTCAAAAATTGAGATTGTCCGACTCTGTGCAAAAACTTTTTTAGACCCAAAATTCTGAAGAGATGACTCACTGAGCATGAATGAGTGTATTAGATAGATTTAATTGAATATTTAACCTTGCATTCACTATTGAATATATTCAATAGTGAATGCAAGGTTAGCATGGGAACTTTTATGGAAAAAAGGAGAAATCAAAATATCCGACCGTTTTTAGGAGATGTACAACCTTAATGAAGAGTGTCACTTACAACCCTGTTTGAATTCGCATTCTTGTTCTCTTTCTGGAATCATCCAAATATTCAAAAGAAGAAAATGGGCGCAAGTATTTCCATGGTGACTGCTTCCCACGTTCCAGCCTTAAACGAACAAGATGATCACTATCACCACGACCACGACCAATACTCCATTCTCGATCGTTCTTTTCCTCCTTCTTCTTTTGATTCACAAAGCCAAAAAGAACCTCTAGAATCGAATTTCTTCACTCTGACTACCTCCACACGACGATTGAATAATGGTCGCCGCCATACTCTACCACATCCTCCCCAATCGACTCGAATGTTTCAAATGTCGTCCACACTTCTTTCTTCAGCTCATGAGAGATTTTCTCACAATGACGACTCACGGCTCGAACCTTACATACAGACACACCACCTGGACACATTTGATTCAAATACTGAACGTTCTGAAGATGAATACGAAAATCAAGATCAAAACCAGAAGGTTTCCTTTTCCTCCATTAAAAAGATGTTATCGAAAGAGGTCGTTGAACGATGTGGTCTTGGTTCTATACCTTCCACTGATCCAAAGATCCACACACATGCGACCTTAACATCCACTCGAAGGAATTCCTCATCACAGTATTGCGCTCGACCTTTAACATCGAAAAAAACAATCGATTCTTCATCTTCTTTCAAAAAGTGTGCGAGCTATGAATATAAAATTCTGGTCACACAAAGCGATGGCGAAGATGAAGAAAACACTCCACTCACACGAAGAAGAATTTCTATCGAAGAGGAACGAAAGGAACTTAAAAAGAAGATTCATCTCAAGAAAACCACGTTGCATTTTGTGAACAGTTTTAGAAACGAGTAAAGAAATGGCAATTCATTCTGATGTGCATCAGTTGCACGAGCGATGAGTTTGTATGATGTCACCGAAATGCAATCCTGTCTTGTTTGGCCTGTTCAAAAAAACAATCCAAATCAAAGATCATTCATTCCTTGATGGGAAATCGACCTGGAACAGCAATCGTCACCTTCTACGGCCCTATGATGAAACAAATTCTCCCAAAATTTCCGCTCCCTCCTCACCAACAACTCTCCACATGATGCCACCAAGAAACTCTTTCATTTCGACACTCAAGATCACCCGGTGCACAGTGCTTGATAAGGAAACCCAGCGCAGGAAGAGACCAAGGCAGCGAGTGAAAAACGAATATTCAAAAAACTCGCTTGGTGGCAAGCCAAAAATCAAAACAAGAAATGCAAAGTCCGTGCACCGTGTGGTTGTCGGAAAGCTCTCTTCCTTAATTGAAACTTTTTTTTCTTTCTGAAAGAACACGTTCCACCCTTAATAGGCAAGAAACATGTTCCTCTGCTGCGAAAAGATTCCCCGTTTCTCCTCCATTCTCGAGATCGAGAAGAACAATAACTCGTTTTGAAAAATGGGCGCAACCGTTTCTTCTTCGAGTTCTTCTGCTTCCGTATCCACCTCTTCGAGTTGGTGTCCACATTCTTCAATGCCCAAAGGAGAGTCCAAGCGTTTGAATGAAGGAAAGACTTTCATTCAACCGTCCGCTGTTCTTACTCGTGATAGTCTTGAACAGACAACAACAAACGCGGAAGAATGTGAGTCATGCCCAAGTGGAGATCATCACCCTCATCATCATTCACAATTAAGGAAGAGAACGGCCGTGATTGTTTCGACAGAAAAAAGCTTCACCTCGCATCACCTTCACCGTTCCTTGTCTTCTTCTGTGCTCTTGATCTGTTTAGATCGAAGAAGAAAAAAGAAGAAAACGTATGAACATGAGTTTCAACGACATGCGAATCGACAATATCCAGATCCACAAGAGACGAAACATCCACACACTCATCTCAGACATTGTCATGTTTCATCTATGAAAGAAGTTTTGATCAACAACAAATTCTTGGTTAATGGCCAGGAATTTGCTCTTACAGAATCTCAGCCTTTTGCAATTCTTCCAAAGACTTCATTGTTAAATCCTGATATTCAAATTGTAATATCTGGACCAACCTTTGAACCTGCATTCCTCTCTCCATTTTCAATTAAGGTAGAAGAGGAAAGGAAAGAAAAGAAGAGAACTCTAAGAGATGCAAAGATGAAGATCTAAATCAAGAGAAGATTCACCAAGCTGTGAACGCGCAGAAGAATATATTAGGACCTTCCGAAGATGAACTGAAATTGGCTTCCTTGATGTATCCGTTGACACAAACACCTCCAACGTACCATCCTCATATTATATTTAATTGGAAGTTGCAGTTGTTTTACAGCATAAGTGCGAACATACAGGGCTTGTAAGCATCTAAAAAGTTTGGATTTGATTTGGATTTGTTTTACAGGATCATGACTCCTTCCTTATTAAGGCAATTTTTTCCGTTGACAACAAAGGTCTTTGCCTTAAAGTCACATTTAAGAAATAATTACATCCCTTGTCCCCAAATACAACACCTCACCACCACCACCACCATCAACATACACAAGAAAATGGGTTCGAGCGTATCCATGTCTTCGGCATCTGCTCGAATTCCTGCCATGAATGAACACTCGATCCATCGTGAATATGATCAAAAACGACGACGTGGCCATCTTTCTCCCCATCACCATTCTCATTCCATCACTTATTCAGGTGAAACATGTTCCTCCCATCGACCATTCTCAACTCCCATTTCAAACACTTGTAAATCTCTTTCAACCTCACCTCATGAATTGGGTGAGAAATGTTCCAATACAAAATCACCATTCACATCATCATCATCATCACCAACGGCTATTGTTCTCCATAACATTCCTACCAAGACAAAACGTCGAAGATCTCTCCATCCTCGAGCGATTCATTCTCTTCCGAAATTCGAAGACAAGTTGTTGTTCCATCAGAATCCACAGCCACCTCCACGAAAACATCACTCTCTACCTTATCCAACAACAACAACAACAACCAAAACCAAACACAAGGATCCACTCTCCCTCTCGAGAGGATTTGGACATGCATCGAGATCCGGCGAAGAGGATCTTACGTTGGTCCGTCCCATGTCCATGAAGAATCATCCTTTGAAATCCCTTAAAGGAACACCCCTTGCACGTGCCAAACAATCCCACCACTCGACCATCACTTCAAAATCACAAAGTAAATCCTCTCTCTCCATCTCAACAACAACCTCTTCATCTTCCAGCAGCTCTTTGTTCACCACAGAATCCATCACCTCTTCTTCCAGTTCTTCTCTCTTCTCTTATCTAAAGTTGAAGGACAATGATGATGACCTATCTAGTTCGGACGATGATGACTCGATCACTTCCGACGACGAAAAGTCCACCAATTTCAATGTTTCCTTCTCCTCTCTCAAAAAGATGTTGTCCAATGATTTGAGAAGGGCCTCCTCCCTCCGATCGAAATCATCCTCTCCTTTGAAAGGTCTTGATGCATTATTTCCACACCATTTACCTCCTCCTCTCGATGCGACATCTCCAAACTCATCCCATTCAAGAAGAAGTGCAAGTTCTTCAACTTCATGGCTGCCGCCGTTTGTAGGTCTTGGAAATTCTGAATGTAAAATTATTGTCACTCCACCTCCCTCGAATGACTCTCCTATTCCTTTCCACACGACTGCCACGGCAACAATAATGGAAACAGGAAAAATCAAAACCATTGAAGAAGAACGACAAGCAAGAAAGAAGTTACTGCTCGCAAAGAGAAGGACCTTGTATTATATACAGTGTTTACACAAGACCAAAGAAGGCTTTTGGTAATTATCTCTCATTCTTTAACATGACGTAAATGAAGAGACAGCTTACCTTCTATATAACCATGTGTTGCCCTTTCTGTAATTCAGTAATTCATGGTTAAAGGCCACCACATTTTAAAATCTCCATGAACAGATCAAACGCTCCAAAGCAACAAAGATAGAAAGATCTCCTAAATATCCCGATCCGTTTTGAATTCGCGAATCGTAAAGGGCAGTAAAGAGCGATTTCAAAGGAAAACAAATACACAAAAAGAAGAAGAAAATGGGTTCAGGTGTTTCTACGGCTCGTTTGCCAGCCATGAGTGATTTTCATCATCCTTCATCCCATCCAACCTTCCCACAACACATCATGGAAGCATCTGCAAACAATTCTTCTCACAATGGAGTGATCGACCTTTCCCTGCACAGGCCAACAACCTCTCAGACACAACGTGGTGGCAATGTTCAGCACCATCATCTCCATCTCCATCATCATTACAATCATGAAAATTGTTTTTCCAAACTCTCTCCATCTTCCAACATTCCACATCTTGCACCTCTACATGCAACAACCAAGAAAAATCATTCCCATTCGAAGAGGATCCACTCTCCTCCTGTTTCTCGAGTCGATGTTTCAACCAAGACGAAACACACCTGTAACGATCACCTATCCCCCACTCAAGAGGTCCATAGGTCGAAAAGTTTTTCTTCTTCTCCCATTTGTAAATTTCAATTCACAAGAAAGATCCATTCCTTTCCTTCTTCTCCAACAACACAAAGGAACAAATCTCCTTTGGAAACCACTCGACAATTGGTCTCTCAAATCGAAGAGGATGAAGACATGACTGTTGTGGAAGATGACACGCCGTGGATGCTTGCATGTCGACTTGACTTTTTTCACATGAAAACAAGGATTCCATTGATCTTTCAACAAAATTCAAGTTAAAGTTGTAATATATGAACATCTCAAAGAATTCGAGAAGTGTGTGTAATGTATAATACTGTACAATAACTTCAGTTCCATGGAACATAAGGGGCAATGGTTGGGATGAGTTCATTCTTGTATCCCCTCTCCAAAATGATGTGATCAAAAGACTTCAAGAAAATCTGTAAAATACTATGACAAGAAAATAACATACATGTCACTAATCAATTATTCGAGACATTTCGTCTTCAAAAGTATTTCCATCTCTATGTCTGCAAAACTCTTTTTCAGAACCAAAATCAAAATTGAAATGACAAGCTGGATATGGATAAGTGTATTATAATAATAATAATTAAAAATGATCTAAAACTTCACATAGTTAGCACAGATTAATAGGAACTATTATGGAAATTCAGGAGAAATCAAAATGCCGAACGTTTTTTCTTATTTTAACTACAGGGTATAGCACAACCTTAGAGAGACCTCCAGAAATGTTTGAATTCGCACTCCTCTCTTCCCTAATATCTTCCCTAATATTCAACCGAAGAAAATGGGAGCAAGTGTTTCCCTGAACATGGTCACCTCTTCTCACATTCCGGCCATGGATGAATCAGAAGCAAATCATCTCCTTCACAGCCACAATCATGACCACCACTCCATGATCAATCGTTCCTTTCCATCTCGTCAAGAATTTAATGGTTTCACAACCACCATGGCCTCCACAAGAAATGGTCGAAGTCATTCATTACCTTGTCCGCCTCAATCACGCTTGTTCCACATGTCCTCTTCTTTTTCTTCACATCCTTGTGAGAGTTGCAAACCTTCTCATCATCATGACTACTATTTGCATGTTTCCTCCTCAAAACAAAAGGAAACTCTTTCAAATGCTGAAAGCTTTCAAGATGAATTTAGTAATTATGAACAACCACAACAGCAAGTTTCCTTTTCCTCCATTAAAAAGATGTTATTGAAGAAGGACGTCATAGAACGAACTCCACTTCGATCCGAACCTTTGTTCAATATAAAGAACCACACTAGTGCAACCTTAACAGCACCAAGACAGAATTCTTCCACACCCAAAAAACAATGCACTCTCTTGTCGATCACCACTCGTCGGGTTGTGAATATAAAATCTTGGTCACACAGAGTGATGACGACAAGGAATACTCCCCACTGATGAATCTCAATAACAGAAGAAGAATTTCCATCGAAGAGGAACGAAAGGAACTCAAAAAGAAGATTCATCTCAAAAAATCCACATTGCACTATATGTACAGTTATAGAAATGAGTGAACGATGGCGATTTCAATACTATTGTGCGGTCGTGGTATTCAATGAATGACGGCGATTTGAGGGACAAACAGTTCTGATCGAGGAAAAGTTTTTCGTTTCTTCAACGACTCGAATGCTGACATCATCTCGATCAGAACTACCATGTAAAGAGTTGGATTGTGATTTCTGGACTTGGGAGTTTCACTAAAATATTGTGAACAATTTCCAATAAATGTGTAGCTTCTCTAATGTGGGGATTATTGAACAACCTTTCACTTCTAAATTGGAATTTTTTATATAATTTTAATTTTAAAAAAAATTCTGCATGATTCATTGGCCAAACGTTTTGGCATCACTTCGCAAAGTCTAGTAGGTGGAGTGCTTTTTTTATTTTCTTGAAGAAACATCATCATCGGGTTTTATCAATTTTGTATGCTTGTGTTTATGTCCATCATCGATGATGATGATTTTTAAATGGATCCTGAATTTGAATGACCATGCCTGTCTGCCTAATCGGAAAATGAACATTTTAAAAATCCAACTCGCATCATCATTTCCATTATTATTTACAAATATTGATGAACAATATGTTTATTTGTTTTAAACTCTTTATTCATTCATCATCACCACAGCAATCAATATATTCAAAAGAATCCCCGATTTACCAGAATCATGAATATTTTATGGTACGCCGTGATGATTATTGGGCTACTGCCTCTCTTGCTAGTAATTTTCAAAAGAAAAGATCCATCTGAAGATTCACAACGAAATACAGGACAATCCACGCAACAACAACAGAATCGATTTGGTTCATCGAGCAGTGCTGGTAAATCATCGGGGTTATTTGGAAAAGTCTGCCTCAATGCAAAGGCTTTCTTGTTGGATCAAGAATTGTACGAAAATAATTCATCGTCGAAAATTCAACGAGAGGAAAACATTATGGAAATTACATCATCGACCACAACGCCGGAGAATGATTATGCTAATGATGAGCGTATGAAATATCTAAAAAGTTGGCCAATGATTGTGACGTTTATATTATTGTACAAGTCGCATCAGATGAGGAACAAAATTACTATCAAGATTTGTTGGAGAGCAAGTATGGATTTTTCAACCCTGTGAAAATTCTATTTTGTGAAACAGTGAAAGGAAAAATTGCATTTTCACGTCAAATTAATCCACAACTTGTCATTGAAGTTGACAAGGAGACAACACGAGAATTGAAGCGATTCTATGAAGGCGTTTGCATGGTTCAAAGAATGCCAAAAACACCAAGAATGAGCACGACATTTTGGAATTTTCAAACTTTTGGATCTGATGAAGTATTTGACAAAGGCTTAATTTATGGTAATGTTTGCAATTATTACCATGGTCTTCTGTGAGAACATTCGTGATTAGTATTTTTAATTCAAGAGCAATTTTTCCACAGACACTTCCACCATCATTTCTAATCACATCCTATAGGATCACGTGTTTGTTAATAACACCACACCCGAACATTGTAGTCGTATTTATTGTCATATCAATTGTTGTTGATTTCATGCAACCTCATTTCTTTCATTGTTGAGAAGGTTGATTACCACCCACAATATTATCCTTCCATTCAGAGACCTTGTTGACAACCTTGTCCTTGATATTCTTGACAGTGTCTTTGACAGATTCTGCCTTGTCCTTGACCTTCTCCTGTGCTTCATCCAAATAGGCCTCAGAATATCCTTTCGCTTCATAGTACTTGTCCTTTCCTGACTCGAACAAATTGCCTGCCTTATCTTTGAGATTTTCTTTGGCTTCAGAGGCTTCATTCTTGATATCTTGTGAAAAGAGATTGCTTGCCTTATCTTTAATGGTTTCCTTTACATCGTAGGCAGCATCTTTCACTTGATCCTTCACATCCTTGGCCTTATTGAAAAGACTTTCCCCAGTGGAGGGAGTAGACCTGCTGCAAAGGTAGTATCGTCATAGCCCGAAGTCCAATTATCGGAGGAAGTCGAGACATTCTTCTTGACTTGTTCCTTCGTGTCATTCCATTGATCTTTGACTTTTTCTTTTGTGTCACTCCACTGATCTTTAACTTGTTCCTTCGTGTCCTTCCACTGACTTTTGGCTTGATCTTTCGTTTCACTCCATTGATCCTTATTGGATGAACCTTTCCATCCCTGCTGATTGTCCTTATCAATTCCAAGAGCTTTGTCAGTAGCTTCTTTCGTGGTGTATAAATCTTGTCCCTTAATTTCATTGTCGAATCCATAAAATCCACTTGGATCTTTATCAATGGATTTACCCACATTGGGACTTGGAATATCTGCAGTGCTGGATCCAGCCACATACGAACCAGGCGAGTAGGATCCCATTGGATTCTTGTTTGCCATCTTTTCCGTGGTATTCACATTTGGAATTGGATTGGATGTGTCAAAGAAGGAACTCTCAGTTTCCTTATCTTTTCGAATTGCAGTTGCAGATTTATCAGGCGATGACAAATCTATCTTGGAAGGGTTAAATTGTTGGTCCTTTTGTTGAGAGGAGGAACCACTCGTAGTAGAAGAAGTATTCACATTCTTGTTGCCTTTGTCATACAAATCACCAATGACCTGATTCATAGCATTCGAACTAAACATCATGGCTGCAGCACGATTGTTTGGATGAAAGCAAGCAGTGCTATTGCGAGAATGGCACCATTGTTGGACGAGTCGAGTGGTGGTTCTTTTCATGGCGTTGGTGATGATTCGAAGGAGATGAAAAGTGTTGGAAATTTTGTTTTGTCTTCGAATCGAGGGTGTGTGGAGGTTAAATTTTGTAAAAACCTTGTGTGGAATGGAACAACAAGAGAGGATGATGGATCAGAATGGTGAAAATCTAAATCAGATCTAGAAGTGAAGAATGAATTCCATTTGAGTTTTGTTGAAGTGATTCCAAAATACGAGTTTTTCCGGATATGGAAAGTTTCATGTTCTCGGACTTTCGGATCTACAGTGGAGTCCACAAATACATCCACATTATTTTTCAGAATGTCAACACAACTTCCAGAGCAATAAATCGAATGGTATTGAAATTGACCATGTTTTTCTTCCAGAATTATAATCTTTCCTTGCTGTCGTTTCGAATTGACATAGGTCATTCAAATGATCTATTAGATATCTGCATCTAATCCACCAAACATTTCCTCCTGCATTCGCTTCATTTTCTTTAACTCTTTTGTTCCTTCTTTTTCTTCTTTTTTTCGTTTCTTTTCTTCTTTGCGTTGTCGTTTTTCTTCCTTACTAAGTTTTTGCTTTTCTTTAAGGGTTTTGTCACCACCACTCGAAGTACCAGCTGCTTCCTCTTGCGTTCTACCGGGTGGTGTTGAAAGTTCTGATTTTTAATATCCTCTTCTTCCTTTTCCTCCTCAGATTGATAATTAGGATTTTCCTCATATAACGTTTGCATGAGATACTTGTGAGTCCAATTTGGATCACGTTTCTTCATGGCATCATGATCAATAGTCCAATCCATGCTTTGTCTCTGTTCCATTGTGGTTGAGATGGTTCCCAAACTCTGAAGCGGCCTCTTGTAAATAATTCCATCCTTTTCCATATTTTCAAACAATTTCGGTTTGAGTTGCTCTTTTTGTTCTCTCTGATATCTTGAATTTCGTCCATGTTGTGAGTCTTTTTATTCTCGTCAGCAGGATCCTCCACAATTTTCTTGTAATAATTCGGAGCATGATCCACACAAATAATTCTACTCCCCAACTCAATTCCATTCAAATTATCAATAGCCAATATTGTTGATCGGATATCTTCATAGGCAATAAAACAAAATCCTTTACTCGTTAATTCATTTTCATCTCGAACCAAATCAATATCCACAATTTCTCCATATTGAGAAAATACAGAAAGTAAATCTCCTTCGGTGAGTCGATAATCCAAACCTCCGACATAAATATAAGCTGTTTTGTTTTTTTCTTGTTGATGCCACGAAGAGGGAGTGTTGGTATATCCGAGAGCAAGTTCTTTCTGATTGAGTTCGTTGATTTGTTTGGCTCGTTTCATTTTTTTTTTGATTGATTGAACGTGTCATGAATCTTGAGAACGTCAATTTCATTGATTTAAATTCTGAGGATCCAATTAGCAGGTCTTCTTTGCAAAATATATAACCGAAATGATGTCGACATTAAAGTCTCAGTAAAATTGAATGAGCAAAAGAGAATTTTGTATATTGCTTAGTGTGAATAGGTGGAATTCAGTCTTTCGAAAAAGGTTGGGAATATTGTTGGAAATTCTAGATATTATTATTGGGTAAATACAGTTTGTTTGTTAAATAAATCGAGAGTGAGAGAGCTCAAAAATCCTGGAATGGATCGAAATTGTGAAAGATATTTCATAATTTTCTCATCGATGGAGCATGCAAATTCTGAGGAGAGTAATTTCATGGCATTTCCGTCACTCTCAAAAAGAAGATAATCTTCTGGTGATTCTGCATACATGCTGCTTAATCTGAATCGATTGGTCTCCATCACGTCCACTCTAAATCCGAAAAGTAAATAGACAGATTTTCTAAATTCGTTAATTTTCTTTTGGAAAACTTCTTTAAGTTTGGTAATTCGACGTTGTGCATCAGCGTTCTCTTCTTTGAGCTTGATGATTTCCTGTTCGTTGATAGTGGCGCCTCCTGAACGTTCTAATTGTTGTCTCAGTGTCTCTAATTCATCATGCAAGAGTTTGTTCTCAGTTTTAAGTCTTTCCACATCATTGGAGCTAGATTTCTTTGCCTCAGTTTCTGGATTGATTTTCATGTGAAGAATTTTGATCTTTTCCTTATTATACTCTCCACGACCTAGTTTTTGTTCGTAAAGAGCAATCTCATGTTCCATTTCATCACGGAGCTTTTGCAACTTTTCTACTTGCTGCTGAAGATCCTCTGATTTTTGTTTGTACTCATTGTGTTTGGTGTTGACACGATCAAATTCTTTTTCTAGAGTTTCCAATGAGGTTTGCTTGTCGGTAACAGTGAGCTGTAGAGATTCCATTTTGTCTGTCAATGTCTTTATAATGGAATCTTTTTCTTCAATAATTTGTTCGAGAGAAGTAATTCGTTGCAGGTAATACGAATTCTTGTCGTCTTCTGTAGAGAATGCCTCCTCCTTGTCGTTGATATGTGCAAATTTGGTGGCACTTTCTAATTGCTTTTTCGCTCCGAATAACTTCACTTCAGCATTCGTTAATTTATCTTGCATAATTGAATTTTCGCTCCTTAATTGTGTAATTTCGCTCTCTCGGAATGTGATTTCATTTGTTAATCGTTGGACATGTTGCGATAAGTCATTCTTTTCGGTAAGCAAGTCCTGAATGCGTTCCTCCAGCCGCGAGCACTTGGAATTAAATGTTTTGAGTTTGTAATCAACATCTGCTGGAGTACAGTCGACAAAAGTTTGTTCCCACCTCTTGAGAAGCGACTCCAATTCGAGAGTTTTTGTATTCAATTTCTCATTTTGTACATTTAAAGTTTCAATAGCCATTAATTGTGATTCCAAATCTCGAATTTTCTCTTTGAGTAATTCTTGAGACTCTAAAGATAATTGGGCTTTTGGAGTTCAGTTTCTAATTCACGAATTCTTCTCTTTTCGTCATTTCGTTGTGCAATCTCGTTACGCAAGTTCTTAATTTCAGTTTCCAATGTATTGAGCTCTTCAAGCTTTTTATCTTGTTGGGAAATTTTGAAAACAAGAGTCTCGTGTTTTTGTGATAACATATCGTACTCGACCTGTTGTGACTGAGATTTTGAATTGCTTCAGATCTTGATTTTTGCATCTCCTCAATTTGCTTTTGTAATGTCATATTTTGACGCTCAAGATTATCGATTTGCAAGTCTTTCTGAACAATTTCACTCTTAAATGCTTCTACTGTTTTATCAATTTCAAGAGTTTTCCTTCAATTTCGGCAAGCATCAAGTCTTTTTGGGAGCTTATAGTTTGTTGCAATTCTTGGATGGTTTTGTGTTGTTCTGAAACTTTCTCATGTAATTTTGTAATTTCTTCATTCTTGTTGTGTGATTCGAGTTCCGCCACATTGAGTAATTCCTCATATTGTTTCTTGTAAAGCTCGGTTTGGTTTCGTAAATGTGAATTCTCTCTCCAATTTGTCTACAATTACTTTCATTTCTCTAATCTTCTTTCGATCATTTTCAGATTCATTGTTCAATTGATCAATAATTTCGTCACGCTCCCTAATACTGATATTGAGAGCAGAAGTGTTAGTGACATCAAAAGAGCTCAAGTTCATGTCGGCTCCACGTGACGGTATTGTATATTTCAAAAGTGGAGATTGTGAGATGCGACTGGAGGCAAAATCTTGATTTCTTTCCACAGAGTGTTTTATCGGTGACAATTGCATTGGATTACTCTCCAAGTATGCATTTTGAACTCTACTTTTTCTATCTCTAGATCTACCTGTATAAAGTCCAGCTTCGAGAAGGTGTGGTGACGCGGGTTTTTCTTCCGCATCATTCACGTGGTCACTGAATAAAATATTTTCAGCATGGTCATTTTCAGATCCAAAAGCCACTGGGGGTGGAGAGATGTTGAGGGAAGAGTGGCTGGTATCAAGGTGATCTTGATTGGTTACTTCTCGGTCTTGATTCGTCATAACCGTTGTTTGAGAACCATTCTCAAGTGTAGCATTTAGGGATGTTGTCATTTTTCGTTTTTTAAGGGGTGAAACAAATTTGTCTGGCCTAGTTGATGGTGATGTTGATGATGATAAATATTGTTGTTGTGTAGGAGGTATTTTCTCGTTAATAATTTCTTCGTCCTCAGTATCGTCACCAAATAAATACTTTTCCTTCTCATTGGCATATCCTTCTTCATTAAAAGTAGCAGATGTTGCTTGATTTTCTGTTGATGAAGAGCCTACATTTGCTTCAGAATCGTCAAATACAGTGAATAAACTCTTGGCTAAGGGTGTGGTGGTACAAATTAATACATTTTCAAAAATGTTCGATACATGATGATGGTAGCAAAAATACAAATTAGCAAATCGAATCATCAGATATACAAATGATCGCACAACACTTACCAATTTGACTTTTTCTCTTTCTAGTGCCAAATGTACTATGTACATGATGTATAAAATTGTTTTCATTGGTTTCTGAAAAATTTCCTTCGGAAGGAATGGTGTGAAATGTATTATTTACATTTTGATGGTTCGATGATGAAACTTTGTCCTTGGCTGACGATGAAGATGACGAACCAGAAAATGATGACTCATTATTTTCATTATAAATACTAGAAATAGCTTTTCGAATTGAAGGGCTGAGCAATTGCGAAGCCATCGGAGATTGTAATACTTTTAAAGTTTGATTTTCTTCTCCACTATTTGCGTTGCTATTCATTGAGCTTACACGTGTTGTATTGTGATCTTGGTTGTTGGAGGTAGATGAAGAAGAAGCGAGACTCTTCGGCCGATAATTTGCGTGTGGATGACTCGAGCTTGTTAATGATGAATTATTGAACAGGCTGCTTGTATTCGTTGCAGCACTCGACGAAGGCTTTTGAGGTAACTGAATATTCCAATATTTATCAAAAGGATTTGTTTGATGATCCTCTTCTTCCTCATCATTGCCATGTTGTTGTTGTTGTTGAATGGATTCCGAAGAGAGAGTGTTGTTGCTATTTAATTCTTCATCGGCCGATTGAGAAGACAAAACTGCTCCGAAGGTTCTTGTTGGTCTTCCAGTGCTTCCGCCACTACTACCACTACTTGTACCACTTCCTTGTATTTGTTGTTGTTGTTGCTGTTGGAATAATCGTCTTTGATTGAGTGCTTGCATCACAGAAGGAGGAAGATTTTCGGTACGATCGGCATCTGATGAACTGAAAACCTTCGAAGAATTCGATCGGGAATTTAAAGTTGTGCCTAGCGGTGCTCCACTACGTGTTGTCTGTTGTTCCGAGTCCGTCAAAAGATTATTTCCGGCATCTTCCTGATGGTAATGACTTTCATCGTGGTTTTCTTCATCTTCAAATACAGTGAACATTTTTTTTTGTTTAATTTGAAAAAAAAAAAGGAAATGAAATTGTTACAACGATGATTATGGAGTATAAATTTGTATCGACATTAATACGGTCAATAATATGAATATATCACCATTTTTCTTGCTGCAATTTTGTGTGTCAAACAAAAAGAAACTGGTTAACTTCTTGTTTGGGTAAAAACATCCAAATTTTTCAGAGAATTGTAAATGGCAAACGAGAATGGGAACTCCTCTTCCACATGAATGTCCGTTCGCTCAATAGATGCCTCCACGCTTGGAACCAAACACAAATCTGCCAATGTCAACTTTCCATACTCTCTTATCGAATATAAAGTTGTTCCAGAGTTCACTAACTCTTTCACGATATGAATGAACTCGTATTGCTCTTTCAGAAGAAATTCAATATGTCGAAGGCCTTTTCGATGCCACTCTCCAATCCACTTTTTGTTTTGTTCACCACGAAGCTCTTTTGGAAGCATTCTTAATAATTGAATATTTTGCATGGGTTGAATTCCTGCGTTAATAATTTCACTTATTTGTCTCGTTTTAAATTCAAGAAATAGATCATGTTTGGGAATTAAATAATTATTATTCATACAAGGATTCTTGAGAGAGCACATTTGTACATTTGATGAGGCTTGACTTTCTTCCATCTTTGAAGTTTTCTCATGAATTAATTGTACAAGATGATCTAAAAACTCAACAATAGGGAGAGATTGAGTGAGTGTCATTGCATTGCTTGGCATGTATTGGCTGGCACCCTCCTCCTCCTCATGTTCATGAATCGGTTGAATCACCAAGGAAGGTACTTGTTTCATGGGATTAATCGTTGAATATGAACTTTCTTCATTGGCTTTTGCAAATAAATCCACATGAACCAAATGATTCTTTTTAAACTTTTGATACAATTGATGTTGATCAATTGAATTTAAAT